CCAGTTTGTGATCTTTGATACCTTTCATTCCATGAAATGCTCATATGATCATCCAGAGAGAGCACACTCTCACGAGGGTGGGAATTAACTGTACTGGTGGCTCACCGCTGCCGGCCATCATATTAGACAAGAGGACAAATGAAAACACAGGGAGCAATTATTCTTACAGATGTTCACTGGTGCTTCTCACCCTAAGACAGAAGAACCAAATAGTTCTGCCTAGGGACATCTCTCTTTTTATTGATGCTCTTGGAGATGTCTGCTGAGCAATTATTTTCCCCGTGCCAATTGCTCATGCGCTTAGCTCACTTAGCCGTAAGTATTGTGACATCTTGAAATGCCAAACTCTTAGTATCAAAGTCCAACTCTCTGTTGTATGCATTTGTCCAGACTAAAGCCTATATGAGTGAGCTCCTGCTTCAGATCCTTGTTTGAGTCCCAATATTCTTTCTCTTCTTAAAGATCCTGATGAGTATCTGTGGACCACATTGGTATTTCTGTGCCTTTCCTCCAACTACCACTAAATAATTTGGGGAGGCTTTCTGCACAAGTTGGGCTTGTAAAATCCTTCTCAGAGTTTGAGATTTAGAAGACAGGCATGCCAAGATGGAGGTGGTTTTTGCATCAGGCAACTCCAGAAGCTACACTTCCGCGGGTTCATAGGTTGCTTCCCTGGCTGAATTTATTAATCATTTCTCTCTTGTATCACAACAGAATATTTGAGGGGAAGAGGCCAAGGAACCCAAGCAATAAGAGTAGAAAGCACACTGAATATGGGTCAAGCCTCAGAACATTATGTGGACTCTGGAATAAAACTACTATAAGAATAATTTTGTATAACACCTTGAAAAATGTAACTAAATTTGAAACACCATTGTACTGTTATCTAATGTTAAAGTAAATCTAAATTAAATTGGCTCATATCCTGCGTAAGAAGGCTCCAAAGGCATCAGATGAACTTTCACCTTCCTAAGGAGAAGCAAAGAGAATTAGCAAAGAACTGGGGTTTGGCCAGCAATGTGTTTTAGAAAGCACCCATAGGTCTATGGCCATACCACCCTGAACGTGCCTGATCTCATCTGATCTCAGAAGCTAAGCAGTGTCGGCCTGGTTAGTACGTGGATGGGAGAAAGCACCTGTAGTCCTACAGCAGCTCACTTTGCAATTCCCTAATATACACTCTGAAGTCTATGTGCTTAAAATAGATGACATTTGTGTGGAGGAAGTGATTTTACACAAATACAGTAGTTTTCATTTGTACCTTTTATGTTGAGGTTGCCTATAATAAATCATTTTGTTTAAGGTTTCTCAGAGGAAACATATTTCATATGTATATAGTTTATAAAAAGTATGTGTCATGGGCACCTAGGGAACTGGCACGGGACCTACTTAAGCCCTCTGCATCTGGGTGACAGTGTGTAGCTTGGTCTTTTGAGTGCCCCCTAAGAGTGGGACCAGTACCTGTCCCTGATGCATGAGCTGGCTCTATGAAGCTATTACCTATGGTGGGATGCCTTTTTCAGTCTTGACGCAGGGAAGTTTGGTCCTGTATCAGCTTATATGTCATGCTTTGTTGATTCCCAAAAGAGATTCAGATCCCCATCTGAATGGGGAAGGAGGAGAAGTGGATGGGGAAAGAAGGAGGTGGGGGAAGGGAACAGGAGGAGAGAAGAGAGGGGAAACTGTGTTGAGTATGTAAATTAAAGAAAAAATGAAAACCATGTGTCACAGTGAAGTTTTGATCAATAATGACCCCCACATGGTATTATAGTCCCCTAATAACATAATAAGATAGAAACCTTCTATTGCCTGGTGGTAACATTGTATTTACGTCATAACCCACCATTACAATTTTATACTTGTTTATGGAAATGCAGGTATAAACAAATCTACTCTGGATAGTCATTAAAAATGTAGTCATTAAGTGTCTGTGCTCTTTTTTATGGATTTATAATACTATCCATCATTATTTTAGAAGAAACTCCTTTAATTCATAAATGTAAGTTTACTATAAAACAGAATACAATGTTATATTGCTGGCAGTTTCATATATTTTGTGCTTCTCACTCTCTCAGCTACACAAAAAGGCTAACCCAAGTGATGAATCTATACCAACGAGCTTTTTGGAAGCACGCTCTATAATGTTTATGCATCACAAATAATAACTTCTCAGTTAACGTCCATGTTGCTAAATGAGGCACCCTATATTACATATGCATATATGTAAATAATAATATTTAATGTTGGTATACATATCAATGTTTTATATTATAATAAATTATAAGCTGAGATAAATATGTATCCAGTATCCTATTATAGTATATATAGTGAAGATGTGTGCATACTGAATATTGTATTATATATATCCAGAACATCTTCATCTATAAAACTGAACAATAGGAAACAATATAAATGCTTATCAATGGACGATTAGGAAAACAAATTATGTCATTACCCTACAAATGCATGCATCATAGGAAAGTTTTTTGGCTTGGTTTGGTTTGTTTTTTTTTTTTTTGTAAGAATGCATATTATTTACTGATACAGAAATATTGTGGTTTGGACTGCTATGGAAGAACCTCCCTCCATAAAGCAATTTGTTGTTCCTTTTGCATAGATTTTTTCATATTAATAATTTTCAGTTGTTTACTTTCCATTGCTGTGATACAGATTATAATAACCATGAGTTATAAAGCAGCTTAGAGAGGCGAGGGTTTATTTGGCTTGCACATCCCAATCCCAGTTTGTCATTTGAGAGAATCCAAGACAGGTTCTCAAATAGTGCCGGAACCTGAAGTCAAGAAGTGAAGCAGAGAAGATGGGAAGAAATCAACTTACTAACCTGCTCCTCAAGGCTTCCTCAGCTTGCTTTTTTATACCACCCAGGACCACCTGCACAGCAGTGACACCACCCACAGTGAGCTGGGCCCTCCCACATCAATTGTTAATCAAGAAAATGTCCCACAGACTTGCCCACAAGTCAATCAAATGAAGTCATTTTCTTGACTGACATTCTCTCTTCCCAAATGCCCCTCGCTTGCGCCAAGTTAACAAAAAACACTACGCAAAACATTCCTCCTAATGCTTATAAAAGAAAAGAAACATAGAGTTAAATACTTCTGAGTCATTTAAATTATCCTTACATTTTGTAGACAACTGTGTTTTTAAGGAAGTATTTTTCAATTCTAAAGTGATATTAACAGATTATGAAGAGTAGAGTAGCCATTTGAATTTCAGCTACACTCAACCCCTACATTCCAGAAAACCAGTACAAGAGAAAACGCAAGGGTGATGGAAGTTCAGGTAGGCCAGCTAGAGTCAGGATCCTAGAACCTCCCACTAATGTGCTAAGGTCAATGGAGCAAGTGTGGTGTAAGCTCAGATTCCAGGACAGTGCTTCCTCACTCAGTCCACAGAGCCTGTTGAGTGTAAATGGGTCAGAGTATGAGAAATGAATCTAACATAGTGGGGGCTGTGAGCCACCGTAAAAGGCTGTTTTCATTGCTGCTGTTGTATTGGGTGGCATGGGGGGAGAAAAGGATGGTATCTAGTACATAGTAAAGCTTCCTCTTACTCATAAGTTCTGCAGATACTGATGCAGACACTGTTAAAGATGCTGGAGAATATGGGAGGTGGTATGAGAAATAACAGCTATAATAAGAACTTTTATATGCGGAACATCTGTTAAGCACAGAACACCGAGAGAATAATTATGCACACATTAAATCATTTTGTCCACACAGTACTCATAGGTAGTAGGTGTGTTGGTTTATGAAAGCATTAAGTCTAATGGAGCTAATTTAGCCAACCTAAGCTCACACCATTAGTAAGTATAAAAATAAGAGTCGATCCAAACTACAAAGTTCTTGACAACGTTATTGTGATATCTTGACTTTTAGCTATTGTATATGGTGAACTAATTCTATTAATAATGGACATAATAGAATACTAGAAAACTAAATTCAACAGTGCGCTAAAAGAATCCTTCACCAGGAACAAGGGATATTTATTTCTGGAACGAAAAAATTGTTGAATATACATAAATCCACTCTGTGCACTCACAGCTTGTGCTTTAGAGTTTTTAGAGTTCGTCTCTTGATCCTCTCCCTTGGTTTTTTCAGCAGGAAACTCTCCTGCTGGCTATTTATATAAGCTGAGGCAGGTAGGGGAGAGGCCGGGGTTTTGCCCCACTATGGAGGGCCTAGAGAGTGGGGTGTTCTGTTGGGTGGCTGGTCACTCCCATCTTGGTCCTGTCTGTATTGTAGCAAGCAGTGTTTCAGAGTTCCATGGAGGTTACAGGAGGATAGGGGAGCATGGTAGCTGGGTGGGGCTAGTAGTTTACAGGGTCCCACGAATGGGGATGGGTATTGGGGCAGCCTACATGCAGGAAAGTCTCCTGATGGCTGGCTAGAGAAGCAGAGGCAGTTGGGGGAGGGCTCGACTTTTCCCCCACTATAGAGGTCCTAGAGGGTGGGGTGTCCCTCTGGGTGTCTGCTCACTCACATCTTGGTCCTTTCTCTATTGTATCAAGCAGTGTTTCAGAGGTCCACCAAGGTTGCAGGAGGATAGGCGAGCTCTTCTCATTTTTGGTAGAGACTGAGAAGATTTAGTACAGCTGTCTCTTTGAGTACTTGCGAAATCCACCGACAAAGTCAAATGGCCTGGGTTCCTTTCTGTTAAAGTTTTTGATTACTGATTTAACCTCTAAGCCATCGGATGTTCACATATTTCATTTCTTCTTGAAGGTACAGCTCTCTAGAATTTTATCCAGTTCTAGCTTTACTCGGCTTATTTACTTTGCTATGTAATTATTTATGGTAGTCTCTTAGGAACCTCTAAACAGTCTGCCATCTGGTAAACATGGTTTGAGGCTAGGAAGCTTAGAAATAAAATTTCACCACTAATTTTTTTTTAATTCACACTTGTTTGTTGTTAGGTCTCTGTGTGTCCATGAAAGGTCCCCACTTACGCTATGTCTTTCTTTTTTTCTCACCCTGTAGGATTACAACCACCGCAGCATGCATGATGGATCTTCGAAGGTACCCTCTGGATGAGCAAAACTGCACCCTGGAGATTGAAAGTTGTGAGTTACTTGCATAGGGGATGAGAAAGAGGGATGTTTGGCTTGACACAATTAAAGTTAACCTTTCTTTGAGCTAATTGGCACTAGGATATTTTTAGCTATCATCTTTTCAAGTCTTCACAATCAGTGGAATTTTCCTCATATTGGTGGCCATAGGATCATTTCAGTGGCATTATCTTTTGGATATTAAGGAAAGCCCACTTACTGTAATTCATAAATTTATAAACACATGCTTTCTTCATCTTCCCTCATAACCTTTTTAAGCTTCATTAGGAAAAAAAAGAAGAAGAAGAAGAAGATATTTCCTTACCTTTTAACCTGGAAGACTGTGAATGGTTGTTTAGAAATACACTATGGTGCAGTGTTATGTGGATGGTGTGTTTTCTACTATTGAAAAATATACAACAATAAATGACACCTCAGTGGGCTTATGCTTTAGGTCAGATCGTTCATGTTTTTCCCGTCTATGGGCTGATTTTGGTCTGTGCTCTAAGGCTGTTTTTCATTGACTATTGTATTAATGAGATGAACACTTTCATCACTAAGATCCAACCTGACAAGCTACCCTTGAGTCATCGTTTCTCAGCCATCAACCTCCAGGCCCTTGAGTCCATTCATTGTGAAAATGCCATTTATTTGTTTTGAGAGTTACAAAAAGATGCAGGAGTTAACTCTGTAACTTACTGAAATGTGAAAAGTCAGCAGGTGTGTATTTTGGGAGTGTAAAGTACTTTCTAGAGCTAAATGTCAAGAAGGAAAGGGAAATGAAAACCTTCTAACCGACCTTACAGTATTATTGGAAAATGTGTCTCTCTACTGCGCTGTTAAGCAGCTACATAAACTTACTAGTCTCGTTGTACATAAATAAAACTGATCCTACAGAGACGGTAAATTTAGATATAGCCATCAACCTACTACCAATGAAATAAATAAGAAAATTCAGAAATGCTCTTCAGTTATTTTTTTATTTTAAAGGTCATAAAGAACATGGTAAATATCAAAGGGGATTATTTATTAAAGAGTTAGCAGTGACTTGATTTAAATGACAAAATGACAGAATTGGAAACATAACCATGATCGTTAATTAATGACTGATAATAGTTTATAAATATAACAGAGCTTTTGTTCAGCAGTTAAATCATTATGCTTGAAATTGGAGTAGAAAAAGACCGGCAGCTGATGGGCTGATGACGGATAATGGGTTACCGTTCACCTTTGGCTATTTGCCTATTGATTTTGTGATTTTCTTAAACATTGGCTTCCTTTGGAAAGTAATATAAAACTGTCTTAACGTTCTAAGGTCCTTGGTTTTCATTGTTTGGTTAAAGGGCAATAAATTTTGCAAAGTGTTTTAAACAATTCCGTACTAAGACTTACCAGCATATTCTCCCCAAATTCACATTTTTTCCAATATACAGTGAGTTTTCCTACAATTTCATAGTGTGTTGTGGATTGACATTTTTCTTAAAATGCCAAATTTCTTTATGTATGCAACCTTTCAATCCACTCATCACACTGTGTAATGACCAAAACAAAGCATAAAGCAGATATTAAATATTGCCTTGAAAAGCTCTATGGAGGCAGAAACATAATAGAAATTGAAAACCAAATAAGAACTACCAACCCATTGCCTTCTATGTGTCAAACTAACAACACAGTAGCATGTGACATCATGTGATAAACGCCTTGGGACCACCTCTGAGAGATACAGTATCTTGGACACTAAGATAACCAAAGGCAAGAATTACGACTAGATGGGATGGATGGGGAGCCAAACCCAGTTATGTTTCCAAGCCCAGTTCTACTCCCACAGACCTCTGCAATCAACAGATGAGGAAGGGGGCAGAGGCTCCATGACTAGTGTTGCAGCAGCTCTCTGCAGGGCCAGGAATCCTATATTAGGCAAAACAGGTCTAGATCTCCCAATATCATCTCTGCTACAGGTCAGAACTGATCCTAGAAGCTGAAGCAGAATTCAGCTCCTAAGTCACGTGCTGAATATTTACAGTTGAAAGGGAGGGTATTTTGTAGATTCAGCAAACCAAGCAGGCCCTGAGTCCTTAGGGGAGAAAAATATACGTATGTACAAACTTACCCAGAAGTCTTGGTATTACTTAGCTCAACAGTGTGTTTAAAATACTTTTCATCTTAGCAATTGACCAACCGATGTAATGAAATGTAATCTTAAGAATAAAATCTTAAGAATAAAAAAACATTATGTGGTGCAGAAAAATATACCAAAAATAATTGAGCCAACATTTACTTGCTGGCACTTACTTGCTTTGCTTTTTTTTTCCTAGATAAATACAAAATAAACTGGTTATTCCTTCATATTTTTAACACTCCATAACTAAATGTATGATTTATGAAACAGATTATCCTCAACGGACATTGTATTGGACTACAGCTCAGCTTTAATGGATCTAATATCGGTTAGATTATAAGAAGGATAAAATAGACATTACTCAAAACAAGACTGAGCCAATCAAACTTTCCTGTGACCAACTGAGTGGAAACATTGCCTACATTACAGAATTTACTAGTTCGTATGTGTATCTCATTAAGACTGGGAAAATGTTTTCCATGGGTAAGTCCTCTGAGACAAATTAAAGACATTTGGCTTATTTTTAATGCCAGCTAATCAACTAAAATTGCAAAGGCCATAAAGTCTTGTTAAACTGAAAATTTACTTGAATTTGGAGCAGAGTAATAGCTTGATAACCTCGGGATGCCATAAAATGAAGCAATGGCATATAGAAAAAATCAATCAAAGAATTTAGTATAACGAGGAGTTGGAATTCAAAATCAATAAAGCTATCATATGATGGTTGGATAACTACAGGCCTTGCAGAAATACATGTAGGTCTTAGGATAAAAATCATGGAGAAATACGTGGATGGCTTTTCCCACTTTCTTTAGCAAGATTAAGGAAAACCTTTCACCTCTTCCTCTCACTTTCAACATAACGTGTCACCTCTTATGGCATTCAAAGAAGAGGAAACCAATTTCAAGTCTAAAATCTGTGTGGTCACCACATACAAACCTTCTTATTCTTCCCCATCCCGAGCAACACCTGTTTTGGGTGGGAACACACGAAGAAATGTCTGTTCTCCTCACAAAGGGTACCCTATGGCAGACCAAAGAAATGAGTCCACCCACGTCTACCTTGTTGAACTAAGTATTTTTGGGTTACTTAGAGTGAGTCTAAGGTGTCGCGTCCACCCTCGACCCGCAAGGATGACGCGAGCACCGGAGCTCTTCTCACTGCAGTTTATTCCAGGACTTTATTCCCTTTCTCTCTCTCTGCCTCTCTTCCCCTCTCTCTCCGGGCAAACCTCTCCCAGCCCTTAAGTAGGCATGGGCTGCCAATCCCGGATTGCCAGGTGGGCACTGCCCATAGGCCCACGCATATGCAAGCAGCTGATGATCATTGCGTGATCACAGCATAAGTCAGGTCTTAGGCATAATTAGGAGCTGATTATCAGATGTAGCTTCACGCAGCTCGCTACACTAAGGGAACTAAGGGATCAGTGAAAAGCATACCCCAGAATGGGTAACAATTCTTGAAACCTGAATCAGTGGAGCTCCCTATACAACTTGTAGGCAGTTCTGCTGGCTAAAAAGTTCCCTCCTCACTAGTGATTGCTTAGTGCTTTTATAACCTGTGTAAGGGTATTGCTTGACTTTTCCTGGAAAGATGTAAGCAGCATCTATTCACCCTAGATAGGGTACCAATAGCAGACCAAAGAAACAAGTCCATCCAAATTCGGTGTAAATACTCGGTGACTTGATTGAAGTGACTTATAGAGTAATGTGAGGATTAAATTACAGATCATCATTGAGAAGCTCACCCCAGCATGGGTGATGACTCACAAGAGCAAGCATCCCTGGAGCTTTCTGCATGACCATTTTTAGGCAACACAGCTGTTCAGTGCCACATCTCAGCATTTGTTACTGCTTACGTAAACTTGGGAAGGGTCCTTGTCAATCTTGTAGTTGTCACACTTTGCTGAGACTTGTGAATTTAGTTTACATCCCAAGCTGTGTAGGTTTTGTTTCCTTTCTGAATATTAAAGAGTCTCCCTCCAAGATGGAATGCTTCAATTCAAAGAAGCCCTGGTTCTTTCAAAATGCTGTAATTGGTGGCTATTGTTGTTGTTTTTGATGATGATGATGATGATGATGATGATGATGACGACGACGACGACGACGACAATGTGTTGTAAATGTTGGCATCTCCCTAAATTCATACTGAAACCTACTCATCAGAGTGTTGTAATGATAAAGTTGGGCTAGGGAGTGTGGCTCTCTTTAATGAAGGTATTTCCTAGAGTCGCCTTGTCCCTTCCACTAACTATATTAGATCACAGGCCAGAAGATACCATCTATGAAAGAGATAATGGACCCTCACCAGACACTAAGAGTTTAATCAACACCTCCATTTTGTACCTCCCCCAGGACAGAACTGTCAAAACTTTCAGATATTAATCTCTGCTGTTTATAAGTTGCATAGTTTGTTCTACTAGCTTTAGCATTTCCACCTACAGAAAGGGCTAAAATAAGAATGTAACACCTTTGTACTTCTTTGTTACCACGTTTACTGATTCTTCACCGTGCTGATTATAAAGTAAGAGGAGAGGCTTCATTGCATGTCCACTATCCACTCATTAAAACCAAGACTAATTTCCGGTAAAGAAATATGTGGGGGATAATATATGCTATAAGTAATCCTTCCAGACTTTGTTGAGTTGCTTTAATTTTCAAAACTAAGAATAGTTTTAACTTCTCAGATAAGAGTTAAAGCACAGCTTTGTACATGCAATCCAGCATCCTTCCTTTGTACAATTTTATTTTTGTGTCTTAGACTACCTCAAAAATGATTATAAATGTGTCATTCAACAGCAAGATAGAAGAAAGCCTAATGCTTTGATGTCTTTAAAAATAAACTTGGCTGGGCAGTGGTGGAGCACAGCTTTAATCCCAGCATGTAGAAGGCAGAG